GATAGCTTTTTCTTCAATACGAAACAGAACGGAATAGTATTTCACCAAGAAATGCTGGCTATAGAAACACATTTTCGTATTTAATTTCCTTAAATTATTCTATAATTTCCTTAGTTCACCAGAACTATTGATGAAATAGGTGTAGAACTCCAGAACTCTTTATAATACAACAAAAAAATATATCAGAAGTCATTTTCTCGAAAAAAACGGCGCTGCGTGCATGAAGTTAGCGCTCAAAATTTATTTTTTCCAATGACACCTACGATTTGCTGGAACTATTCAAAATTTCAGTCAGGAACTCTAGAACTCTATCAAATCTACTCAGAACTAAAAAAAAAATTGAGTTTTTCGAAAAAAACGGCGCCAACTTCACATGAGTATAGACTTTGCCTCGGACTTTGGTTAACATCAAAATAGGAATCTCGTCGGGTATCTCCGATAAAGGTTATCTCTCAACATTCTGTCATAGTCCGCAGTATGACGGCCATTTTGATTTAGGAGTGTATACGATATTGAAAACTCGAGTGAAAAAGTGAAAACTAGTTATCAAAATATGTTTTGATATAGATATTTTTCTTTTATTGAACAAAGTTCGAAATTCAAAACAGTTACCTATCCTTCAATAATTTGAGTTTTCAATAAGATATTGATTTCTAACAAGTCACATCTGATAAACAAATAGGAGGGTTTCGTATTCATTCTCTCCCATCTTTCAGGGAGTTTTCTACGAGGGGTGGATCACTTGAGGAAAATTTGTACACGTATTTAAAATACTCTCGATTTAGGAGTATTTATCGTATTTAAATCTATTTAAGATAGTATTCAGTGTATTTATGTAAATATTATTGTATTTAAGATATTTAAAGGTAATTAACAGTATTTAAATATATTTATGCCTATTTGAAAGTATTTGACCGTATTTAAAATTATTTGAGCGTATTTAAATGTATTTATTGAAAAAATTTTGTCTCAGTATACCTACCAAATAAATTGTATTACCTTGGTGGACTCTTCATCAACGTCGAGACAAAACCGCTGAAGCTACGATTGTGAAAATTGGAAATAGGTTATCTTTTGTTATATAGGCAAATTTCCACTATGAAGGGGTAAAATGGTTTTTTTTTTAGTTAAAATATTTTGAAATATTTTTTATGAAAATAAATACACACCGAACTTGAAAGTCCACCCTTCAAAGTAGTCTAAAAACATAAAATGGATGTTTGAAGTTTGTATGGTTGAAAATTAGGTAGATGCACTCATTACATTCGCACGAGTATTCGTCCTCTATCTATACCACAGAATATTACCTCGGAGACTGAAGTAGTGAAGTACCTACATACCTACGTTTGAAAATAATCATGACGAATTGGTCGAAAATTAGGTAATTTTCACTTATAATATCACGAGAGCTTCAATTATTTCCAGAAATTTTTTCGAGAACACGAATATTTTGAAAATTCTCCCGAGACGGAGACGAGAACACGAATTTTCAAAATATTCATGTTCGAGAAAAAATTCCCGGATATGAACAAAACCACTCAAAACAAGTGACAGTAATAACACAAGAAATTTTCGTCCTACAATAGAAGTCAGTAACGGTCAGTAACATGTAAAATCTTGTTTAAATATTTCACACCTGATTTCGCAGATTCTGGACCGTGTCTGAGCCGTGCTTTGAATTATACCTCGAATTATACTGTAACGCACATGCTTCATAACTATTTAAAACTATCTAAATATATTTAAATCTACCTTATTGTATTTAATTGTATCTGGGGTATTTAAGACTATCTGAATATATTTAAATCTATCTAATTGTATTTAATTATATTTAAGTGTATATAAGGTAATTAAAAATATTCAAATATATCTTGAATGTATTTAATGTATTTAAAGGGTATTTATAAATACTTTCTACAAAAATGTACACGTATTTGGAGGAATTTAAATATATTTAATTATATCTAGGGGTATCTAAAACTATCTAAATATATTTAAATCTATCTTATTGTATTTAATTATATTTAAGTGTATCTAATGTAATTAAAAATATTTAAATGTATCTTGAATGTATTTAAGGTATTTAAAGGGTATTTATAAATACTTTTTACAAAAATGTACACGTATTTATGGAAGTGATCCACCCCTCGGTTTTCTAGTACCATCACCAGTTTTTTTTATATCTACTTGGTTCCACCATCCATACCAACACATATACCTATCACAATTCTGAACAGTTTCTGATGAGTCACGGAACCACACGGAACCCTTCCATCCTCCTCAAAGTTTTTCAGTCAACAAAAGTCGGTCAACCACAAAATTATATTAAAACTAGTTTAGTATATATACGGCCATCTTCAGACACAATACAAAATAACCATCTGAGTCGATCAATCTCGCAGTGGAGTGAAGATAATATGGCACTCCATAGGGCAGGAAGAAAATCTCACAGTCAACTCCACCAAAACCATAAGTACTTTATTTAACCTTGGAGTTGGGACATGTTTCGAAGCTGCAAAGCTTCACCCCCATTAAGCTAGCTGAACCACTTTGGATTTATTGTTTTCTTTTTCGGTCATAATTTAAGGCTAATGTAAGGCTAATTCAAGACTAATTTATTACCCTATTGCCGAATTTATTGCTCTTCGATTTGTAAAAAAAAAACGTCAAGCTAGCAGAACCACTTGGTAAATAATGGTTCAATCACAAAACTAATTATATCACAATTTGAGGCGAATTTGAGGCTCTGATCCTAGCCTAGCCTAGTGCCGATTTTTTCGCACATTGTTTTCTTTCTTTAAAATCATGGGTTTTACTAGCTTAACCATTAAGCTAGCAGAACCAAATTTAAAATAGTAGCAATACAAGGATATTGAGTACACCATAATTTGAGGCTATTTTAAGGCTCTTTGTTGAGCCTGTCATCGATTTTGTTGGACATCACTTTATGCAAAAACTTTCCCAAATCTAACATGAACATGACAAACCAATAGCAAACCAAAAAAAGTTGAATCACGAAACTAATTATACCATAATTTGAGGCTAATTTAAGGCTCTAAGCATAGCCTATTGCCGTTTTTTTTTGCACATTGTTCTTTTTGAAAAATCATGGGTTGTGCTAGCTTAACCGTTGAGCTAGCAAAACCAATTAAAAAAAATGTGCGAAATAATCCACAAAATGCTAGAGTTAGAGTCTTGAATTAGCAATGAAATATTATCGATTCATGCAAAAAATGATAGACAAAAAAATTGATAATAGGTTCAATGAAAAGCCTTAAATTAGCCTTAAATTATGGTGTACTCAATATTCTAAATATTCTTTCTATTTGAGATTAGTGTATGTTAGCTTAACGGTAAAGCTAGCAAAACCCATGATTTTCTGAAAAAAACAATGTGCAAAAAATCGGCAATAGGCTAGGATTAGAGCCTTAAATTAGCCTTAAACTATGGTGTGATTGGTTTTGGGATTGAACTTTCATTTACGAAGTGGTTCTGCTATACCTAAACGTTAAGAGCAATAAATTCGGAAATAGGGTAATCAATTAGCCTTAAATTAGCATCAAATTATAGGGTCCAAGAAAAATTGAAAAATTGAAGTAGTTGAGATTTTATTTCTGTGTCGAAAAATGTTCAACATTGCTCGGATGGTGGATGGAAAAAGAGTGTCAAATATCAAAATTGGTGTTTAAAATAGAATCTTTGACATGATACCTATGCTCTATGCTAAAGCCATGTGAAAATGAATATTGATTTGTGTCGCTCATAAAAAAAAACGAGAAAAAATCCAGAGAGCACAAATTTCAAACCAGAAAAACGAATAATTTTTTATACGTTTAAACATCAGGCACAATTAAAAAAGGCGAAACATTTTCACAATTCACCTCGCAATTCATTTCATAACGAGTTTCATCGGAAAACGGTCATTTTTTTAATTGTAAAAATGTTTCCCGTTTTTAATTATTATGCCTGATGTCCAACGTAATAATTAATTTCCCATGTATTTCTGGCAAGATTTCTGGCTATTCAGAAATTATGTCACTGGCTTATTTTGGGAAAAATTTAAACATTCTGAAGTCATCAAGGTACCTACGAGCCTACGAGTCAAGATAGTATAAATTCAAATCATACTTTAAATTATTTGTCTTCAAAGAAGCAGTATCTTTTTTCTGTACATACAGTCATGGCCTGAAGCACAGCTTACCAATTGGCTGGTATGGGTTCAATCCCAGTATTTTTTTCACACATTTGATATTTTCTATAGTATTTTCCGAGGTATTTTCCTTTCTATTTCGTAATCGCGTTTTGGTGAGAAGGTACTCCACTCCACACAATATATCGAAAATTTCTTCATTCGTGAATATTCCAATGAATTGCCTACATTCGTGCATAAATATGACCAGATAATTTTGTATTTAAGCTTGTTATCTTATACAAATTGCATTCGTTTATTTTAATATTTTGTAAAAGGGCTCTCCTTGGGACTCGGCTCTCGCCAAAATATAAAAATAAGCTTGCAATTTATGGATAATAAGCTTTCTTGCAAAATTATCGGTAATTTTCATCTCGATTTTTATGCACTAGTGCAATTAGGTATAACTGATAATACCCTCGGTGATGCCAACTTAATTTTAGCAATTTTTGCAGTGGCGTTAACGTAAGTGAGGTAAAATCGAGGGGAAAATCTTCTGTGAAATAGGTAGATAGGTATTCCACAAAACTGTCAACAGAAGTAAATTTTTCATACCTACCTTATTACATTTATTTGGACTTGAATCATAGCAATTTCAATTTCAATTTGTTCATAGCTAAGCTCGTAGGTAAGTACCTAGTTCATAGGTACTTATAACATAGCATAGCCACCTAATCACTTTGTAAGAACTTGAATTAGTCCTTCGGTTAGGTAACCTAGGTGAAATAGGTGTAGGTAGGTATGTCTTTGTAACTGCACATAATTAATTTCACGAATTAGATTTTGGAAATGTAAAGAACGAAAAACTTACCTGTGATTTTGAGTTTGTCTCTGAGGGTATGACATTGTATTAGTCTGAACTGGCCCATGATCAATCCTCATGGAATGAATTTCCATAGCATACACATTTAAGCACAATGTAGGTATAATAATTAGAAGAAACTCAACTACACTTTGATCAACCACATTATAAACTGATTATTAACCGTTCATCGTTCCATTTAGGTATTTTTCTCGGTATTTTCCAATGTATGCCTTGAAAGATCGGAGAAGTGAATGATTTCCTTCGGTTTTATGTTTAGCTATCTATACACATTTCAATTTCAAATATTATTTAGTAGTCAAACAGAGATGTTAAGAATCATATGGAAATTAAACCAAGTGAAGACGAACAGCTATTTTGCCACGTTGAACAATCACTGCAGTTGCACTTGAGATTTACAGCAAATATTATTCAATTTTATCACAATTTCCGAGATATTTTGCATTAGGGAACGTTTTGGAATTGAAAACGTGGTAATTTCCGAACTATTGTAATATTCATAGTTGGCGTCGCCTCGACAAAACACACTTCACTGCTTCTTTATCACAAAAAACGGTTCCGGAATTTATACACCATGTTCTTTTCAAAATTTCACAGACTGAAATATAGAATTTCTATATTAAATCAACTGCTATAGCGCCATATTCGACATCTTGGTTTAGGTTTAACGTGAATCGCACGAAAACAGGTCCGGGATAGTCTATCTTGTCGAGTTGGAGGGAAGGACGCTGGTGTAGAGAAAGATAGTAGCTAAATGATCAACGACGCGACGCAGCTGCTTGAACAATGAAAGCCACGTCATCGAACTCTTGTAAAATTTATTTTAGAATGAATTTGGAACAAAAACATCTCTCATTATTATGGTCAGATACTTGGAAAAATAAGAGTGTAGTTTGAATCCTGAAAATAATACGATTTATAGCGATATTTTATATTTCAATAAAATGATAAATAATGGACGTATTTCTTAGAGTTCATTGTAGCAAGAATCCATTTGCCTGTATTTCCTTTTCATTTTTTGATGCGAATACAATGAGCCAGAGTGAGATGAAAGAAAGACTGTTACTTTAAAGGGGATAGACTATAAGCGCTCTTTGACTAGAAAAAAATAATAATATTTTGGATTTTATGTATAGATTTTTGAGTACTGGCATAGATCATAGATCTAAATATTTTGGTCTATGGTACTGGTAATAACTGAGGCTGGGACAGGCTGAGACTGCTGCGAAATACCTAAGACGAAAGAGAATTGGTGTAAGTAGGTATACCATCCTATTCCTAACTATAATAATAACTATAATACGTACCCAGACTACCCTACATTAACCTACCTAGACCTATAGGTACCTACCTACCTTCCTATACAATACCTAGGTAGGGTATAATACTATACCTAGGTAGGTATAGGCACAGATCATGGGCACAGAATACCCAGTTGGGTATTCTGTGCCAATTTTCAAAATATTCGTGTTCTTGGAAAAATTTCTGGTAATAATTGAAGATGTCGTGGTACCTATTATAAGTGAAAATTTCACACTTATATCATTTTCGACCAGTTGAAAGCCTGTATTTTGTGTCGTTACCATAGCAACTAAACAAATTTCTGGAAATGTTATCCTCCTCCTTGGGGGAAGGTGCATGAAATTGAACTGGAAATTTGTTGACGTTTATAATTCTTCCTATAAGTTGATAAGTTCCTTTTGTAAGCAAATAGCCAGGAAAGTAGTTGTTTTCTGTTAAATATTCAGAATGATGATATGTGCAAATCGAGGTGCAAATACATATTTTTATCTGATGGAGAATGCAAATTCTCAACTTTAGAAGATATAGTTTTCAAATTCTAATCGTTTGTGTTCAATAAATATAATTCAATGTTCGTCGTGACATATAGCCAGGAAAGTAGTTGTTTTCTGTTGAATAAACCGAGAAAGAATTGATATTATTATCACATAGAGAATTCTCAATGTATTTCTTCATATGTATATCCATTTTTCCATTTTTTTATGTTCATAATTTATCTGAGAATATTCCTTTTCAATGCTTTCAACCAATCAAGGGGTTCAAACTTGAACGATAAAAACGTGTTATTTTTATCGACCTTCAATCGCATATTCGAATTTCGAATTCGCAATTTAGAATTTGTATACACGTCGTTTGGTCATATTTTATTTAACCTTCGAGTTTTGTTGTGAGAAAATATATTTCTACCAACTTTACTGAAACGAATTTATGAAATACTGAGGAATTGATCAAATAACGACTTATTTTTTATTATTTTATGTAAGTAAAGTAAGTTTATTGGGTTTTATCGTTATGGTCCGTTATGGATATGTATTATATTATATTGATCCTACTTCACTATACATACTGTCGAGTTCTATATTGCAACAATGGTAGTTTACCTAACAAGTGCGGAAAGTGATGCTTTTCTGCACGCGATTGCAGATGGACGAACGAAGCGCTAGTGGAAAAGTGACTCTTTCAACACTGAAATGAGTGCGGAGAAGTGAACTCTTCTACACGCTAGTAGAAAAAATATATTTCCACCAACTTCAGTGGAATAATGTTAGTATTTTATTATGTCCTCTTCTCGATCTACGCTTTTGTATGAAATTTAAAATTTATACCAAATATCGGGTCGAACGAAATTAAAGATCCAGCAGGCAAGTCTAGCAGGCAGGTTGCAGGCCAGCAAACCAGGCCATCGGGCGATCGCCCAATCACGAGCCAGTTCGGCCCTCATTTTATAACTCATTATTAATTACATCTAGGAGGTCTGCAGGCACATATTAAGGAAATCTACAGTCCACCTCCTCATGGATTCATAGAATGGTAAGAATAAGGCATCTTAAGAATTGGGTATAGTGAGAATCTGCGGAAAGTGGGCATGAAAAATTAAGTACAGTGGGAATGGTAAGAATTGGGTATCACGAGATTTGATTTTGGGCATCGTGAAAATTGGGCATCGCGAGAATCTTCTGCAACGCTGCGTTGGAAATCGTCCAGATGACATGAGCAGGGTGATCATATTTTTTGTTTTAAAAAAATATCAATTTTGGACCAGGAAAAGTGGGAACGGATAGGGAATAAGTAGGTCTACTTGTTTTTAAAAAGCCACTACCACAGTTTCTGCTACTACACAAGCGTCAATTGTATTTCAGAATATTCAATTGAATTTCAGAAAGCGTCAATTGTATTTCAGAATATTCAATTGAATTTAACAAAGCGTCAATTGTATTTCAGAATAATCACTTGTATTGTATTTCAAAAAGTGTCAATTGTATTTCAGAATAGTCACTTATATTTCAGAATAGTCAATTATATTTCAGAAAGCGTCAATTGTATCTCAGAATAGTCAATTGAATTTTAGAAAGTTTCATTTGAATTTCAATTCGTATAGGTATTTTCTGAAATACAAATGACACTTCCTCTGAAATGCAAGTGCGCTTTCTGAAATTGAATTGACTTACAAAATTTTTATTTTTTTTTATAAAATAAATACCTACCTACTAGATTTTTCATCAAGGCAATGTTAAGACATTGATAGGCGATACTAGGTAGTTGCATTATTGCATGTTTATAGTGGTTCCTACGTTCGTTGGCTCATTTTCTTTGTGTGTTTAAAGGAGATGGATCCATCCAATTTCATTGCGAGAGCATGGGTATACGTTTACGTATGTTCTCCATGATTTAAGGAAAAAATACCTACCAAACTATAGAAGCATTATAGGAGTATAGGTAAGTATACCATCAACTTATTTGGTGACATGAGATATAAATATAAGGTTGATTTTGACAAATAAGTATACAGGGCGAACGCGACGAGCTTCTTCTCAAAATAGACTAATATTGGTTCTACCTGTTCATTGACTACTTTCAAACTCTGTCAATCTTGTCATTCTTCGTTGATCAATCAGAAGTCATTTTACATAAAGATCATAAAGGGTAAATGTACTGGTTCTCGACCAGTTTACCGAAATGTCAACTTTGATAGTGGTAAATTCGTGTAAAATCTCATAATGTATTATGTATTGGAGTTAGTGTATATTGATTCCTTGATGATTTGAAAGTAATTTGTAAATATTTTACAAGCGTTTTTTTGCATTCAACTTCAGAAATCCTGGTAAAAGGAAAAAATCGAGGAAAAAATCAACAAATTCACTGGTTCTTGACTACTCCGCAGAGTTCTCGACCATTTAAATGTTGGTTCTCGACTACGATCCATCAGTTTGATTCAGAAGAAAATGAAATAATGGCACAACATTGTTTTCGATTCCTATAAGAGTTATGAAGAAAAAAATCAACACAAATCAAATTTTTTAATTCGTGCAGCTGCAATAGGCACTTCATGGTGAAATATGATGCATATTTTAATGTAAAAAAACTTTGACATAAGACACAACTATCTATATGTCACAACTTCACGACATAATATTTTGGGACGTTTCACACAACTTTTTCATTTAACTTTTTTTTATAGGTATCTCTGAAAACGAAAACGTTAAGGGAGGACTCCATTTCAAGAGGCGCACCCTGTACAGAGACTGAACCAACAATTCATATAGAGCGATTATTTTACTACTGTACCTATTATAGGTATTATTATTATGATGTCTGCATGACATCTCTTTCTGTGAACTAGGTACACAGATGAGTGTGGTAACCTACCTTTATTCCTATTTACATACTAGGTATGTGCTTTCGTCAGAGATAAGTTACCAACTTATCTCTGCTTTCGTGAAGTACTGAATAATAGTTATTTATGTAATAAGGATCATAAAGACGATCATTATGGTACAAGTCGTGAATGTTATCGGGCGAGGCGTAGCCGAGTCCGATAACACGGCGTGTGCCATAATGATTGTTTATGATTCGTATTACATACAAAATTTTATCTGATGGCATTTATATCAATGTTATATGAATATTCCCATCATATACCAGGAATACTTGTGCAAGTACCATCTCAGGAGTTTCACATTACTGATGACTTCAAGGCCAAGTAGTAACCGAAGACACACACGTGTCTGCTGACTCGACATCCTCAGAACTTAGATGCTACATCGTTGCACTGCGAAGAATCAGTTCTACTCAAGCCAAGCTCTCGTCAACATCTAATTTTCCATTGTACTAATTCCATTCAAATTGTAGCTCATTCAAATAAATTGTTTTTAAAAAGTCTTTAGTGCTTCAAGTGATTTAACAAATTGGCGCAGTCGGTAGGATTCCTTCACATCCACGGAACAAGGACAGCCTAACCGAGGGTGTTGGATCCTAATCCTTCAAAGGAAGAAACCTACAACCACCCAGAATAGCGACCCACTTGAAAAATCAATCTCAAGAAGCAATCATCTCGGAAGGACGGTCTCTTCAACAGCCGAAGAACACGCGCATGCTAACTTCGCTGGAGCAACGCTTGTGAAGCCGGATTTCATCCTCCAAATGAAAACAATCTACTGGTAAGAACTCAAACGAATCATCTCGCTATTTTTATAATTCCTATTTTTTTGTATTTAACCAATTCTATTGTCGATTCAATATTTTCCAATCAATCATGCCTGACTCACCTCCACCAACACCTACCCATCAAGACGAAGTCGAACCGTACAAGTTGAACGAAATTTTCTGTATAGTACCGGAATATGACGGTGATCAAATATTTCTTA